CTTGCCAGCGAGTGATTGCTGTTGGCATGTGCTGGTACTTGAACAAATTCGGAATACCTCCGCCTCTCATCATAAAAAGGGACTTTGACTATTGAATTTGATTTTCATGATCTTGCTCTGTCTTTTTTAGCTCTCTTCTTCCCAGTCGCTCTATGATGATTTCATGCGAACGCTTCATGACTAATCGAATAATGCATTTGGCTTGCCCCATTAAAACTTCTGCAAAGTTGTGGGAAGGTGACGTGGGGCGAGCGGGATTGCTTCTCATGCTTACTGCAGCTCAGCTTCACTGTTTCAAAATATTCCTCCCCACCACCCGTCTCTGATATTAATCAGATTTTTATTTTTTCCTTAGCTGCTGCTTTTACATTTTTAGTGCTTTTATTCATGGATGTTTTAAAACAGTATTTTGTTTGTCGTTTTAATTGTTCACATTGTTCTTTTTACTGAACTTTATAAAATGTATTGTGGAAAGAAAGTCCCGCAGTTGCTCTTCTTGGAACTAAAAGTCAGGTGGTGTGGAAACGCACTGATAGAGGAATGCTGCTCGCAGAACTGTCAAATCGTTTATCCCGTAGTAGAGTGTCAGAAACAGAACCATTTGGCTCGATTTGTGTCCAAAAGGGTGCGCAGCTGGAAGGCGCAAGATTTCATCCAAGGTTTTTCGGTGAAGACACAAACTTTGTAAAAGGACGAAGTCTATTCTAGATAGAGCAGTATAATTTGCAAAAATGTCAAATTTAAATGATCGGGGTGGAGGCGATGAGATTTTATGTCAGTAGCTGTTCGCGGCGCTCTTTTCCCGACAGTAGTTGTGGGGCCCATTGGTACGCTTCATCCAGGCAAAATTTGAAGCATTTTGTAATTCACCAACAAAAGTATGCGAAAATTAGCGGATCAGCAGTTGATCTTTCCCGATAGTAGATACTTATTGGCAACGTGCTGGAAGCCTGCTTGAAAACAACGGATCAATTTTTCATCGGTACGTACGAAATTATCGCTCAGTACGGTTCCTCTGTAACATGTGGAGTGCAGAAAATGCGTCATGAAAGCGCATGCGTGCGATTTCTACAGAATTGTTATTCGTTCATAATTATAAGAAAAC